CCCCTCCCAACTTCCTCCTTCTCCATAAAATAACGTTCTTCTCCTTTGTTTATTGGACCTTGCCTACAATCTTGCCCTAGCTTGCATATCCCAAAATGCAGTTCTCTGCTATTCCTCAATAAACCCATTCTTTTGCTAGTAAAACAACTATTTTAATGTTACATTAATATTACTTGGTGATCAGCCATGGGATCCAGACAGGACCACCAACAACCAGGAGACTGGCGAGCAAACAAGTGCAGGTATCCACAGAGCCAACTGAGCATACTGCTTCCTTACAAACCTGGAGTTTGAGGTTAACTTTTTTCCTGGATTTCAAGTTCTGTTCTCTGTGTTCTAAGCTCTCCAAGCTTTATTCAGGATTTGTTTCAAGGCTTTGCCCTTAAGAGTACTTGTTTGGCCTTTGGTCCAACTCCTTTTTAGAACCAGACTGCTCCTGTTGGAACTGTGTCGACCTTTGGCTCAACTCCTTTTTGTGACATACCATTTCTATAGAAACTGTTTTTGTTGGGAAAATGCTAGCCTTCGGTCACCTCTTTTCTGGAACTGGACTGTTCCTGTTGGAACTGTGCTGGTCTTCAGTCTGATTCCTTATGGAATCAGGCTGTGTCTATTGGAATTTTTCTTTTTGCCTTAGGAAAAAAACCTCTAAGAAATGGGATCCCAGTCATCAAAATGTTTTTCTAGGGCACCTCCACTTCTAGGACCCCAGCCGGTTTTATGTTTAAAACTACGGTCCTTCCTCATGCCTATTTCTAACTAAATGGACCCACTTAACTAAACATAATTTAGAACTTCAATGGCCATTACAGTGAACTTTTGATTTCCTTAAACCAACTTTTCTCAAAACTAAATTGGATAGACATGGCTCTACAACTGTCAAAACTGAATGAGATGTCTACATGGATTGGCATTTGGAAGCATCCAAACGTTATCAGGAACCTAAAATTGCCTCTATAAAATATAATTTCTACACTAACTGAGGCAAACAACTAAAAAAAGACAAAAGGGTTCCAAGGCCTCCCTTCCCCAACCCATCTGGTCTCAAGACTCCTGGCAGCCCCCCTCCTGCTCAGGCCCAACTCCATTGCCATCATCCTCCCTCATGCCTCACCTCTTCTATACCCTTGGTTTCCTCATTCAAATTCTCTCACTGAACTTCTCTTCCTCAGAATCTCTCCCAGCTCTCTCCTCTCCTAAACCTTTTAAAACCTGCCCCATTAGAGACTTCTGAGGATCCAAATAACCCCCAAATTTCTTCTGTTCCCTGGACTAAGGCTGAATTCACAAGCCATAGTTAAAGAGTTTCCTAAAGTGACTGAGGACCCCCATAGATTTGCTGAAGATTTTAGCAGTTATTCAAACTTACCAACCTGGTTTCTCAGATATATATCAGTTAGTCTACATGCTTGTAGATGAACTGGGCCAGACCAAGGAGTGGAGAAACTAGCCCAGTGGAAACATCCTGAAAGGGATTCAATCACACAAACAGATCCCTAACTTTTGGCAAGACATTAGAACACTTGGCTGGAAACCTCCACGGAGAAATTACAGTGGCCTTTCCTAGGCCTGTTGATTGGAACTAAATTTAGGCTTGCACAAAAGCCTGATGAATCTATTCATGACTATTACAATCATTCAAACTGTCTTTAAAGAAAATTCTGATCTTGCTGTAGATGTTGAATCCACACAGGTAGCATTTATGTTTATTAGCAGGCTGAACTGGGGTCTTTCTCTTTTAATTAAAAGAACCAAGATGAATGTGAAACTATGTCCACTCTAGATTTAATTTGGCAAACCAGCCTGCTTGCACCCTAGACAAATTACCTGAAAGACCACTAAAATTATTAATTTTTAACTCCAGCAAATGAAAGCCCCTAAGCAAAACCAAAAATCTCCTACTTTCTATTACTGCAAAGAGCCAGGACATTGGAAAAAAGATTGTTACCCTCTTAAATGCCTCAGACATCTTCAGCCCTCTAGCCAGCCTTTCCAATGTCCTCCTAATTCCCAATGATGGGACTCCAAGGAACTACAAGTGGTCTTCCCAATCTTCCCACTTAATCAGGTTGGGGAAATGACTCTCCAGATTGGGAATGCATTTCTCTCTGTCCTTGACACCAGAGCTACAGTCTGGAAGCTCCATCTCCCTGCTATGAAATAGACCTGCTTCAGCATACTAAAACAGTTCAAACAGTGGGGGTCTTGAATCAACCTCTGCAGGTTCCTATCTATCATCCTATCCCCTTTTGTCTAGGCCCTTTAAGGAGTACACACTTTTTTCTCCTTAGTTCTGCCACCCCATTCAGTTATCAGGCTGAGATTTCTTAGAAAATATTATGCCAGAATTCCTTTCTCCCAAAAGGGGGAAATAATTTTACAATTTGACATTGGTAATTAAAATACCCAACCAGGTAAGTTAAACGACCCTTCAACATCTTTTATTAGATCTGATGGTACCACAGCGGAGCCTGGGGACAATGATCATTTGTTCCTATTGGATCGGCTACCATCCTCTTTATGTGCAAGATCTTCCACTGATACTGGCAGAATCTACAGTGCATCTCCCATCAAGATTCAAACAGATCCCTCAACCCCCTCCCCAGAATTAATGAATACCTTAAAGAAGTGCTTCAAGGCATCCAGCCCACACAGAAGATTACAAGGCTCAGGGTCTCATTATTCCCTGCGCTAGTGCCCATGACATCCTTATTTTACCTATGAGAAAACTAAATGGCCAAGAAAGGAGGTTTGCTCAGGACCTCCAAGCAATAAATAACATTTTTATCACTTGGCACCCTGTTGTTCCTAACCCCCACAGGCTACAGAATCTATTCCCACACAAGCAAATGTTTCACTACTATCTATATAGTACACTTTTAGTATTCCAGTTGGTAAGGCTAGCCAATTTATTTTTGTTTGTATTCTGGAAGAACAGAAATATACCTGAACAATAATGCTCTAAGGTGTCACAGAGAGTCCTTCTCATTTTTTCCAAACCTTAAAAGCTGATTTGGATGACATAGTTTTCTCAGGTTCTACTTTGTTACATTTGCTTCTCTGCTGCCCTTCTCAAACCTCTTCACAGGAAGACAATACCTACCCCTTAAAACTTTTGGACTTGGACATAAAGTCTCCAAAGAAAAAATGCAGTTTGCTCAAACTCAGGTTCTACACTTAGGGTGTAGACAAACAAAACCAGGGAACAAAACCTGATTTCAGAATAAGGGCTACATTTGGATTCTGGGAGGCTTCATTGCATCCTGACTTCCCTCAAATCTAAAACTAATATTTAATTACAATGTTTTCTTGGACTGACTAGCCAATGTTGAAACTGGATTCCAAACTTCTTATAGCTCAACCTCTATATGCTTTACCAAAAAAAAAAAAAAGACAAACCTGACTCTATTATTTGGAAACACCAAGCACAGCTTTTAGGACTTAAAAAAACAAAACAAAACAAAACAAAACAAAACCTGATGAAGTCCCTCGCTTTTGGACACCCAACTTCCCTTTTTTCTCTTTGTATGTGAGAGAGAAGGGAAGACTGCCTGCATTTCCCAAACCTCTGCAAAAAGGGGGAAATCTCTTCTGATTATGGCTTTTCAGAAACACCCTCATCATGATTCTGTGATCACATTAATTCTTTAGCTGCTTTTTCTGAAGGATTAGAAGCTTTGGAATCCACAAGTCTTTCTTTCATTTGATTTATTATCTGACTCTAAAACTCTTATCTAAATTCATGGCCTCTCAATTTTCAACCTTACAGGCTGTATTATTAGGTAACATTTGTTTCCAAACAGTTCTTTTGAGATAACAATACTGTTTTAATACATCTTTGAGGTTTTGCTATTTTTTTTTTGAGGTTCTGTTATTTTTTGCAAGAAGTTCATTAGCTATTATTTCATGTCTATACTTGCACAGTATCCTCCCAAATGCACTTGGTTAATTCAGTGTGCTTTTGCAGTATTCACCGTTTTGCTTTCATGGCCACTTTAAGTGGGGACTTCCAGAAGGCATCCATAACTCTGCAGGGAGAACTTTTCTCCCTGAAGTTGGAGTAAATGCCAATAAATATTTTCAGTTAGCTACTTTCAGATCTCGGGTCTTGGTTTAGAACCAATAATTTTGTTACTTCTTGTTTTGCATATATCTTAAGTTTTGTATTTTGTTGTCTGCCAATCTTTTGTAACAATCATGTACCCAATAAAGAAATGATCTCCAATGTTTACGATCTTTATAAATATGAACTATACATGAGAAGTGCATGAGAGTTCTCTTTCCTCGCCTTCCTCATTAATGAAATGAGGCCATAAGTGGTTTCTAACTGCTATGTACCTTCCTTGAAAGATCCTTCTTGGCACTGAGGTACAAAACCATTAAATATGAAATAACTGACTCTTGATTAGGTATACTTTCAGAAAAAGATCTTGGTCAAAAGGGGGAAATGTAAAAATTAATACAGGAAAACCTCACTAAAGTGGACTGGGAAAGTGAAAAGGTGGAAATCACATGACTCAATGTCAATTACAGGAAAAACTATCAACTGCAGACCCTAACAGAAGAATTATCAAAGGAAAAAATGATCAATTATAGGTCAGAACAGGAAAAGATATACACTGAATTTTTATAAGAAATTGACTATCCCTGCAAATCAGCTAACGAGAAACTGTCGTCACTCTGAATTCCTGCTTTTCTAATGGACTCAAAACAACCCCCCTGAACTTCCTCCTCCTCCTCCATAAAAGAACATTACTTTTATTTGCTAGACTGGCCTTTGGTTTTGCCATAGCTTGTGTGTCCTGAATTATAATTTTCTGCTATTCCTGAATAAACCTATTTTTGCTAGTAAAACCATTATATTTAAAAAGTTAACAATACCACATTATCTTGCTACAATCAAAAAATTTTCTAAATTTCAAATATATCTGTCCTCAAGAGTTTTAGGTAAGAGACTGGTCTTGGACCAGTTTTAGAAAATCATATGCCCACAAACTTACCAAACTCTCTTCTATCCAATGTTATGATTTCAGGATCATCATCATAAATACCTAATTTAAAAGTAAACGTTATAAAATTAACAGTTTATCATAAAAATAAATTACCACATAGAAACAGATTACTTAGGTCTTGTTTTAAACACCAAAAATCAGATTACTATACTAAATGTCAAAGTTGAAGAAAGTGCAATAAACAGAAAGACCAAGAGTAAATAATACCAGTGGTAATGCATCTAAAGAATGATAAAAAACAAAAAATTAGTTTCCCGATATGGACTGTTGCAGCTATGTTTGGGGGTTCCCAATACCCATAATTTCATCTCCACAGAAAATTTCTATTATTATTTTTTAATTTTTTATTTTGCAATAATTATAGACTTCCAGGAAGTAGTAAAAATAGCACGGACTTCCATGTTCCCTTCACTCAGCTTCCCCTAATGATGACTTATGTAGTTTTAACAAAATCTAGGAAATTGACACTGATACCTTACTGTTAACTAGAGACGTCACTTCCTTTTCTGATTATGTTTTTTTTTTAATAAATAGTATCACTAAAGTATTTCCCACTGTTAAAAGTCTTATTAGAATGTTTATAGAGACAAAGACCAACTTAATTAATACAAATTTTACTTATTGTAATTAAAACCAGTGTGAGAAAATTTGTTTCTATATAAGATACCAAAATAATACTAGTGATGGATATAAACCAGGTGTCAGTAAACTTATTCTGCAGAGGCCAGTTAAACAGGTCTTGTGGGACACATGGTTTCTGTCACAACCATTCAATTTTGCCCCTGAAGTGAAAGAAGCCACAGATAATATGCAAATAAATGAGCATAATTTTATTCTCCTAATTATCATATTCTCATAATTCTATGATTAATTAAAACCTTACAAAAACAGGTGGCTGGCCAGATTTTAGCCCATGAAATGTAGACTACTGATATCAGATATATACTATTGAGCTGCAGTGATATATTAGAAAATACTATTTTGAAGGGAAAAAAAAGGCAGTCTTGAGAAACAAATACTCCAGATATGAATTTAAAATATTTTATGTAGTCTAATATAAAAGCATACCTCAGTTCTTAGTGTGCATTTGAGGCTAATCAATAACGAAGAGAAATACCGGGTAAGCAAATGCTCCCTCTAGCCTTGCTGGATACCTGTGTTTACTTTACCTGCCCTTGATTTCTTTAACTTGCTTCCTCCCTCCACACTTCCCTCTTTTCTTATTCTTGTCAACACGTCAATCCTATTATTAATAAGGATTCCACAAGAGAAGGATGGCATTTCTACTGAACTGACCACTATTAAACTTAAAGGAAACTTTAGATTTTCTTGGAAAATATGATGCTTTAAAAATACCAAAAGGCTTTAGGATTTAACATCTACTGTAAATATTTTTTTAATTAAACTACAATCCTTATTTTAAAAGTATCTAACACGATCATAACCAAAATACCTTCACATCTGTGCAGACAATATCTACATACCACCTGACTTTCCTTTTGAACGCAGCTCCCATGTTACATTAAACAGTCAAGGTGACACATATTAACTGCCTATGTTAAGTGGTGAAACAAAATTAATTTTCTAAATTTACTCAAATAAAAAACAAAATTTCACAGAGTATCATATCACCTTACCAAAATCATAACGATAATAATTCCAGCTTTCATATTGGCCACCTTCTTGATTATCTGCAAGTCCCTTTTCTCCGTATTTGTCATACTTTTTCCGCAGATCTTCATCTTTGAGTACTTCATATGCTCTATTTATTTTTAAAAAATCACTATGTGCGTTTGGGTTATTCTATTAAAATATTAGACATAATAGTTGTTTCAGATATGTGATCAAGTATCTCCAAAACCTCTACGAAGTTTTAATTTAACCTTGAAATTTCTGGGAGAACAGACATCAAAATAAGGAGGAAGAATACAGTATGAAATGGGTTATTATGGATTGAAATTATAAAGTATTTTGAAGAACTATAATCTTCCAAAAAAAAAAAGAATAAGAAAAGAACAGAGAAATGAGAATTGAGGCCTCAAAAAGCTGAAAGATATGGCCCTACAATGTAAGTCATTCCTTACATGAAATGCAATTGAGAAAAACTAATAAAACCTTGAAACCTTTAATTTTGTAAATATTATTTTTTATCCCAAAACAATTACAAAGAAATTTGTAGGTAATTTTTCTATTTGAAGCAAAATCAACATATTAACCAAAAACAAACAAACAGAAATGTCCCCCAATCCATCAAATGATTAAATGAGACTAGTATCAGAGTAAAACTCAAAACTGGATTGGAAATGTTCCTCATTCGTTACTCTTTCACAGAACTGGTTTTTGAAGAATGCTTTCATCTAAATAATAATTAGGTGTAAAAGGTCTACTATCTTTCATATGGAAACTTAAAAATCATATTTCTGAAATTTTAAAGAAAAATATGAAAAAATAAAAATTCTAAATATAATAGAAGGTAAATCTCCAGGGAAAGATAACCAACTAACAAGTTTTAGTGAAATATTGATTCTACTGCTGAACTTTATGCAATCAAAATAAAATAACCCTCTTTTAGGCATTTTATATAGAAAACAGAAAATTATAAACCATACCTTTCAAATCCTTGAGGAGTTAAATCTCATTAAAATAATTAGATACATTATAAAAAATACCATAAGTATTAAAACTAAATTAGTTTTGAAAGATGACGTAATTGAATATATAATCAAATATTTATGCCTGGAATTACCTGGATTTGGCTGCTCTTAAGTTTTCATTTGTAATAATTTCTGACTCTGGTGTGGGATTTGTGCATGGAGAAAACAGTACAAGTTGAAGCATGTTATTATTAGTTATTACTGCCATTTTTAGCAAGAACCTTCCAAGTTCTAAGGGAATAATTTTCCTATTACAGTTATAAAATACTTGTTCTTAACTTACTTTACTAAGAAAACTACTTCAACTACCCCATAGACATTATCATTGGTTTTGGAATTAACATCTGTAATGGAACTGGTACAACTCAGTTTTCAAATTAACAAGGAATTGCATTTTTGATATCAATATTCTTTCACACTGTTCTCAACCAGAATATTTTGCTGCTTCTGTTTTTTAGTACAGAAGCTAAATTGTGACTTTTGACATGTGATTGTTTTTAAGCATTTTGAGCACTTAAAATTTAACTATGTATCAAAACTTCACTGAAATACATTAATCAGATGTATTTAAAGAGAAAACTACTTACCGGGTTTTTATCAGGATGTAGCTTCAACGCCAATTTCTTAAAAGCTTGTCTTATTTCTCTACTGCTTGCAGTTTTGGATACTCCAAGTAAACTGTAAAAATCCTGATCTGTGCCCACTAAAACGGCCATATACACTATTAGAAAACACAGAATGACCCTTTTCAAGTCTCTGACGTAGTCATTTTTATTTAACCAGACTCCCATTCTTCTTCTTACACAAGTTCTGATTTAAGTGAACATTAAGATACACGCTGGTTCCAACTGATAGAACATGCAGGTTTGAGAACTTCTGTTCACATTACTCCCAGGGCGAATCAAGCATCATGAAACTTCCTCCCAAAATGTCAATCTAAAGAGAGGAAACAAGGGAGTTAAAAATATATTAAAAAAACAAACAAACAAACAAAAAAACCCCAGCAATAACGCTGTTAAATAACATGGCCAGTAATACAAGCTCCATTTGATGGCAAATCAGGGTGAGTGCCCAGGCTCTATTCTTTGGGGGTCCCTTCACTGCTTCCATATCCAGGTAGCCAGATTTGTGAAACCACTCAAGATAGGAGGTAAGTGTAAAGGGTAGTGTGCGGTTGTAGCTAGCTAGAACACTTTGAAAACAAATTCAATGATTTGCTCTGATCAGCACCAGAACACAAGTCTGGGAAAAAAACGTTTCCTTCCTTTTCTATCTAGCTTAATTAAGCACAGCTCTTTTGTAAAACCACTTCCTTTTTGGCCACTTCTTTACCACTGTAAGGCTACATCGTTTTCATTTTAATCAGATTTCACTTGTAGAAAATATCCTTTGGAAGGACTAGGGAGTCCTTTCAAAGAGTATTTTTCATACACCTCTTCCAACAAGGGCAGTGAATTTACATTGTTAGACAACATACTTAGTATGGCCTGTTTGTTCCGAATTTTCCCAAAAGGTCCTTACACTACATGTAAGTAGGGACTACTTTATATAAATAGTCGAATAATAACTACAAGTTAACAGTAATGTTATCGCAAAGTTTACATCTAAGATAAATAAAAATGAAAAGGAAACAAAAAAGGAGAAGGAATCAGTTATTTAACATGCTCACCTGTGTAGGGTCAATAATCTCCACTTCATCAGATCACAAAAGATACCAAACACTTTGAAAAATCTAACCTTCTTAGCATTGTTTCTCCTTTCTTCATTTAATCCTAAATATCTAAATCTTCTCCTTACCTGCGAACGGTCTTTGGCTCATTTCTAACTTGTTTCATGCAACCAAAACATAACTTTGTAAAGCATAGTGATGGAGAGTAACAAGTATCAGACTAAAAAACTAGAGGAAATAGAGAACACATTCTCCAATACCACTATGGGACAAGTGGTGTTGCTAGCGGTCGTTCTCAGTCAGCGTGGGTGTGGTTGACTTGATCTCCGCCAAGCTTCGGGGACAGGTGGAAGCTGCAGGTAAAGGCAGTATGAAGGATTTCTGGCTGCCATCACCCCAGAATAGGATGCGGGGAGAGGGGAAAGTTGGGGAAGTCCCGTGAAAGAGACCAATAAGTGCTGCTGGTGTGTGAAGTCTCCGGCCGGGTTAGGGTGAAAAGAGACTGAGTGACTGAGGCTTAAGTGAGAGAAACTGTAGCAAGACGTGCGGAGACGAGGTCAGAAGAGTGATGATGTAGATAATCAGAAAAAGATGGGGAGCGAGAACACAAAACCCGTCGCAGGGGCAAAGAGGAAGGGAGGGGAGACTGAGGTGCACAGGCATTGCGCTCTCCCTTCCAGGAGGGCCCAGGCCGCCGCCGGCTCCTACAGAGCCCCGGGCCCCGGCCCATGCCCACCTCAGTGTAGCGGGGTCGCCTCCTGCAGCTACTCCCCCATCCTCAATTCCCGGCGGCGGACCCCACCCGGCCGAGCGCAAGCTGTGCGCGCGTGAACAAAGCGCGCACTCTCCGACCGCCGGGCCGCCGCGCTCGGGATGGGGGAGGACGAGCCGCACCGGCAGCAACGAGCGCTGCAGTTCCAGTCGGCTCCTCGCGCCCCGGTCCCCACGGCGAACCGGGGCGGGGCCTGGCGCGGGGCACTGTGGGAAAGGCGGAGAGGACGCGGCCTGGGAACACCCGCAGCAACTCCGCGGGCGCGGCGGCAGCTGGGTGGGGAGGGCGGTTTAGCTTTAGGTTGACGTGGCCATCAGCGTTGAATCCGGCTCCGGCTCCGGGTCCAACCCGGAGCTGAAAACCTGTTCAACCCCAGAAGCCCGCGCCCCCGCATTAAACCGGCTGGCGCACGCGGCAGGCCGGACGTAGATTGAGGGAGCCCGCCCCTTCCTTCTCCCGTTGCTATGGTGACAGGGAAACCTGGGAGGCGGGTTTAGGCGTGCAATTTCCGAGTGGCCATATTCTTAAAGGGAAATTAGAGCTATAGAGCGTTTTTCTGGTTGGTGGGTGGGTGTGGCAGAGAGGGGAAATTTTGTGGATAAAGGGGAGCTTTATCTAGCGGGCTGAAGAGTCAGTAGGAAACTTGGGAGAAATAAAAATATTTGTGTGTGTGTTAGAACAAACATTTGAGCGTTCTACAGTATTGTCTGGTTTCCTAGTCATTCATGCTAGAAACTGGGGAGTTATCCATACTTCTCTCTCTCACCTTTACATTTAAGTGGTTTGGTACAAAAACTTCAGTTTTGATCTGCGGAACACAGAACAGTGGAAGTAGCTACATTTGCAACCATCAAAAGAAAAAAAAAACATTGTGAGGATGCCTGCTTAAGACATTAACCCTAATATGAAATACGTTGTAATTGGTAACAATTTCATGGGTAGTAAATCAAATGTAAGCTTATAAAAAACTGACTGAATGGGATCCCTAGCTGAACTAATACATTGCAAGAAAGAGAAGGAAGGAGGTGAACAAAGGCAGAAATATTAGAAGAGCCTAATGTAATAGTAAATATGTGGTAGGAACTAGTCTAAGTATACACGTATTAATTCAGTCCTCCAAATATTCTTATATTATTTTGACTATAATTATATCCATTTCACAATTGCGGAAACAGGTAAATATGTGATAGACCTGGGATTCACACTTAAGCAGCTTGACTCCAAAGACTGCGATGCTAATCATTATGTCACACTGTGTGTGTACCAACAAAATCTTTAGAGTAAATTGGAAAGCAAAATAGAAAACTGGCGAATCAAGCAGGGAGCTGATCACAGTGGGTTTTATGCTATGATGAGAACATAGACTATCTTTTTGGTAATGAGGAAGCCCCTTAAAGCTTTTAAAGTAAGGGACTCAGGCTGTATTTTAGATTGTTCTGGTAGCTTTTGGAAAGTGAATACAAAGGGAACCAGATGAGAAAGGAAGAACAATTAGAAGAGTGAGTGCTAGAGAAGGTAAATTTGGCAAGAAATGGTTATTGCTTGGATATGGGAAATAAAGGAGAGGAAGGATCTAAGGTTAGTTCTGGTTTAGGTAGCTGAATACATGCACTGAATGAGGATCGGGGGAAAAAATAAAGGGTTCTGATTTGGATATATCTATTTCAAAGATCCTAGATTATGTCCGAATAAATATATCTGGCCTAAATCTCATGGGGAATATTTAGACTGAAGAAAAAAATAGGAAATTATCAAATAATCTGTGGTAGTTGGAGCCATGAGTATAAATAAGAGTACCCAGAGAAAGTATGCAGAATAAAAGCTGTGAGCCAAGGATAAAATCTTGGGGAATTCTGATACCTAGAATTTACACAGCAAAGGAAACCATCAACTAAATGAAAAGACAGCCTTTGGAATGGGAGAAAAATATTTGCAGGTTATATATCTGATAAAGGGTTGATATCCAAATAATATAAACACCTATAAACTCAATAGCAAACACCCCAAACAATTTAATTTAAAAGATGGGCAGAGTAGGGCACCTGGGTGACTCAGTCAGATGAGTGTCCAATTTAGGCTCAGGTCATGATCTCAACAGTTTGTTTTGTAGGTAGGTTTCATAGCCCCATGTTGGGCTCTGGGCTGACAGCTCAGAGCCTGGAGCCTGCTTTGGATTCTGTGTCTCCCTCTCTCTCTGCCCCTCCCCTGCTTGCACTCCGTCTCTCTCTCTCAAAAATAAACATTAAAATTTTTTAAAATGGGAAGAGGATCTGAATAGACATTTTTTTAAAGAAGACATATTGGTGGCCAAGAAGCATATGAAAAGGTGTTCAGCATCATTAATCATCAGGGAAATACAAGTCAAAAACACAATGGGATATCACCTCATACTAGTCAGAATGACTGTTATCAAAAAGAGAAAAAAAATAACAAGTGTTAGTGAGGATGTGGAGAAAAGGGAACCCTTGTACTGTTGATGAGAATATAAATTGGTGCAGCCCCTATGAAAAACGGTATGGAAGTTCCTCAAAAAATTAAAAATACAACTACCATATGATCTAGCAATTCTATTTCTGGGTATTTACCCTAAGAAAATGAAAACAGTTATTAGAAAAGATCTATGCACCCTCATGTTCGTTGCAGCGTTATTCACAATAGCCAAGATATGGAAACAACCTAAATGTTGATTGATAGATGAATGGATAAAGAGAATGTAGTATATATGTAAAACAATATTATTTAGCCATAAAAAAGAATGAAATCTTGTCATTTATGACAACATGGATAGATTTTGAGGGCATTATGCTAAGTGAAAAAGGACATAAAGAAAAAGACAAATACTATTTAACCTTACTTACATATGGAATCTAAAACACACACACACACACACACACACACACACACACACACACACAGAGAACACCAAACTTATAGATACAGGGAGCAGATTGTTGATTGCCAGAGGCTGGGAGTAGGGGGTGGGTGGGATGGATGGAGAAAGTCAAAAGGTACAAACTTCCAGTCATAAAATAAATAAGTCCTAGGGATGTAATGTACAGCATGGCGACTGTAGTTAATAATGTTGTAATGCATACTTGAAAGTTACTAAGAGAATAGATGCTAAAAGTTCTCACCATAAGAAAAAAAATTCTGGGATGCCTGGGTGGCTCAGTTGGTTGAGCGTCCAACTTTGGCTCAGGTCATGATCTCACGGCTCATGAGTTCAAGCCCTGCGTCAGGCTCTGTGCTGACAGCTCAGAGCCTGGAGCCTGCTTCGGATTCTGTATATACCTCTCTCCTGCCCCTCCCCCGCTCATGCTCTGTCTCTCTCTCTCTCTCAAAAATAAATAAACATT